AGTCTAATATATGTATTGTTTAATGTCTCTAAATTACACTTTGTTAGTCTAATATATGTATTGTTTAATGTCTCTAAATTACACTGTTAGTCTAATATATGTATTGTTTAATATGTCTGTAAATTACACTTTATTAGTCTAATATATGTATTGTTTAATGTCTCTAAATTACATTGTTAGTCTAATATATGTATTGTTTAATGTCTCTAAATTACAGTTTGTTAGTCTAATATACGTATTGTTTCATTTCATTTTTAACATTGTTGTAATCTGTTTTCCCTAACCAGGTCAACTATGACGTATTAACGTATGTAAAATGCTGTTTATCCACTTTAAGTACAAACATCATGATATATATTCTTACAGTCAAACCACACTTAACCCTACTGGTAGTCTCTACAGTACCATGGAATTAATGGTGGACTCATTAATAATCTACTCTTATCAGCAATGGAACAAACAGTTCAGGGCCCCAGGGCATTGCCCCATCTGCCCTGCACTATTTCCACCTCTGACTCTTACCTAAAACAATACCATAAATATTTGGCCAAAATATTTCAATACCAAACTTATATACTTACATAAATGACTTGATATTGTTATAGGTACCACAAAAAAAACTTTACATACCTTTTAATTTTTAAATGTAGATCAAAAACACTCAAAATTTTGCTCTACAAGTGAAATATGTTAATTTAACACAGGTCCAAATAAAATGTCTGATACATAACAGTACGATCATCTTATAGAAAAGTTCACAAAGTCAGTCCAGTATACTGGAGAAGGACTCCAAATGTACTACATGTTTATACCTCTCGTGTTGTTAGATATTTGTTAATTGTTGTACAAGTAAAGACCTTACTATCCTCACACTAAATCCTGTAACTATGGTATGGTAATCCTAATATATCAACACAAAATCAGCTACAGTACTCTGTACAGGATTTTTAAACAATAGGTGTGTATACTTACAGAGAGTTAGTACTTGTTTAATATCTGTAACAAGATGTACAACTTTTTAATTAGAGATTAACAATCCATACTTAACCATCATTATGTGGCTGCTTTAAGTGGATTATCGATTTTCCACTATTGTACTAATTGTGGTAAAACTGTCCTGGGTCGTTTTTTGTCAGGTCACAGCTACATCTACTACTACTATTTGACAGCTAACAAGTCACCCCTACAATCATGTCATCTGAACTGCTATAACAAACAAACAAACTGATTCATCAGAACTACTTTTACCAAAACCTTTGAACAAGGCAGCATCTTATAGATACTGGAATAAAGTGGTGCCAGTCAACATTTCTCTAACTGACAACCAACTTCCCGGACATCATACAGCATCTGATCCACTCGCCAGGTATATACACAAATGAAAAATAAAGCATACAAAAGTCTTGATGCCTGAAAAATCATCTCTAGCTTCATGTCCAGACTTGTTTCATTCATCTAAACCAAAAAACGTGTACTTGCTTTTGTATTTTTAATTACAGCTCAGTTGAGTAAAAAGTAGAAAAACTTGAGTTCTCACATTGAGTTGATATTTTGTGAAGGATTGGGAAAAGTTAAATCATCTTCAGCATGTTCGAATTGGTTCCTTTTTTTTTACACAGAGGAACATATATTTACTTTTACATTTTGAATTAAAGTTAGGATAATTAAAAAGTAGAAAAAGGTGAGTACCCTGTTAAATTTATATTTGAGAAACTTTTTACTGTGAGTTCAGTTATTCATGAATTTCAACTAAAAAAAAAAGCACATAGCAAAAAATAATCAGCTTTAACAATAACTTACAAAATCATAATTTTACTTTTTAAATTCACTTTCATGAAACAACGTTGATACAATTTGATCGAGAAAGTCACAAAAAACTAAAGTTTGGTAATTAAAAAATCACTTGAAATTTCATTGCAGGCATAGGGTGAAGAAGACAGTCTTATTTTCATTGTTCTAGGGTAATTATATCTATACACTGCACAAGTAGATATCACTGGTAAGTGATGAACAATCTGTATTCTCTAACTTTACATACAACAAAGAACCAATAGGTCCTTCAAGCCTGCCTTTATGCACCCACCCTTTAAACGTAACCTTTATTTTTCAGTAAATTGTAGATTCTCATCTTAAACTCTCTAAAAGTGACAGCTCATTCCATAAGCCAAATTACCTTTTTAAAAAAATTAACTGTCTTTACTGGAGCCTAGCCTGTTTTTTTTCAAACCTTAAACTCGTGACTTGTTGTACAATTATCATCAGAATATATAACAAACGAATTAGGTTAAGATCAGAGGAAGACCTACTACTTGATTAACTTTATAAGAATAAGTTAAGATCAGAGGAAGACCTACTACTTGATTAACTTTATAGGAATAAGTTAAGATCAGAGGAAGATCTACTACCTGATTAATTTTATAGGAATAAGTTAAGATCAGAGGAAGACCTACTACTTGATTAACTTTATAGGAATAAGTTAAGATCAGAGGAAGACCTACTACCTGATTAACTTTATAAGAATAAGTTAAGATCAGAGGAAGATCTACTACTTGATTAATTTTATAGGAATAAGTTAAGATCATTTATTTTATTAGGAGAAGAGTAAGGAGTGATCTTATTGAAGTTTATAAGATCATCTGGGTGTTTAATAAGATAAATTCTTACTTACTACTATGAATTAATTTTATAGGAATAAGTTAAGATCAGAGGAAGACCTACTACCTGATTAAACCTACTACCTGGGTTAAGATCAGAGGAAGATAGGAATAAAAAATTAACCAGGTAGTAAGTCTTCCTCTGATCTTAACTTATTCCTATAAAAAGGTCTTCCTCTGATCTTAACATAGGAATAACAGATAACTCTTGTTTTTTTTTTAAACTTGTAACCAAAATATAATTACTTGTGATCTCCATATGTATGTTGCTAATTGATTGAGTTTCAGGTTCATTAAATGATTACTCAGTTATCATGATTTGAGGCTTATGTAGTTGGAATGATGAAAAATAGTAACAATTTGAAACGGTGATTTTGATTTGTTGATTATTGTCATGTCGAACAACCTTGAATTAATAGAAAATAATAACAAATAATATTTGAATTTGATGGAACAACAGTTAAAAATGGAAACACTAAGTTTGATTATTTTCATGACATTAATTGTAATTTTGTTAAATCAAGTTAATTGGCCAGCTCTACTGGTAAGATAATTTCTGGCTGAAAGTTCCACTTCAGTATTCTTTGCACAAAATTGGTTTCTGGTTACAAGGTTCGTTTTATAATTCTTTGTACAAAACAACCGGTATGACACTGATGTGGACTGAAAATCATAATTTAAAAACAATTCTGTATGTGATAACGGCTTTTTTTGATAAATGTCTGATATAAAATATAATCAGATTTATGTCACAGAAAGTAAAACAAAAAGTGTATATTGTAAAACAACTTGTACATTTAATAGATTCAGATGTTGATTGTGTAGCTAATCAGAACTGTTGTTACATTGGAACACACCAGTTGTTTAACAGAACAAAACTACAGCACAAACAAGTTTATAAAACAAGCGTTGTGTAATTAAAGAGTTGTAATAGATATTATAATGTTTGTTAAGTGTTATTATACTTGTGTACTGACAGTATTAGAAGACACTATAGGTACATTTTCTGATTGGTGTACGATCTAACAACAGTTGCTTTCTGGTGTATTGATTGCCCATGTGACAATTTGTGTATGTTTACAAACATGTAACCATGATTAAATCTTGTTGTGTCTTCTGGTGCACAAACAGACAAGTGATGTTTTCTTGTGTTGACTTTTATAGAATACCAAAGGAACTGGAGAAAAGACCAGAATGGATCTAGATGATATAACGGGAATACTGGCAGCCGTCGAACTCTGACTGTTTGGTTTGTTAAAGGTAAGAAATTTAAATATGAAAAATCAGTGTTAATACTTTTGTTAAACAGTTACAGGTGTTGATTTATATAAATGTGTAATAATTACTCACTAGTAACAATAAACAATTAATGACTTGTAGCGACATAATAGACAAATAATCTGAATAGGTTAATTATGAATAACAGTAGATAAGTCTAACCACAAGTTGTTGTTTATTTACATAAATATTATTGATTGGGGAACCACGACTGAATAAAAGGATCTTGGTATAGTAGTTGATAAGTCACTCAAATCATTGACACAGTGCTCTGTTGCTACTAGTAAAGCTAATATAATTCTATGGTGTATTTACACTATAGATGTATAAAAGGATGTCGGTATAGTAGTTGATAAGTCACTCAAATCATTGACACAGTGCTCTGTTGCTACCAGTAAAGCTAATATAATTCTATGGTGTATTTACACTATAGATGTATTGATGAGAAGTTATCTTCCTACACAAATCACTTGTGAAGTCTCACTTGGAATGCTATGGACAGTTTTAGTGTTTAAGAAATAATACTGACTTATTGGAAAGGGTTCAGAGGAAGACCTACTACTTGATTAACTTTATAGGAATAAGTTAAGATCAGAGGAAGATCTACTACTTAATTAACTTTATTCATTAATTAAAACAATGACTAACAGCAGTGTATGACCTTTGAACTTAAAGTAAGCTTAGCACTCTCCCTACCATTGTACACTGTCCTATCATAACCTTACAGGTTATGTGGAGAACAAGGTTTCTGTACTACTTGTAGCAAGTGGTTCACATATTCAATCCTTAACCTCCTTCAAAACCCTTGAGAAAATTGTTTCTGCCCCAGTAGTCTTATCATTCTTTAAACTTTCTAATTTTTTCTTAATAAACTCAGAAGTTATGTGATCATCTACCAACTGTTCAAGATGAGCTTAAAGCTTCATTAGAAAAATTGAAGAAAAGCAGAATTTAATAATTCAGCCATCTGATAATCGTCAGATATTAGCCTTCCTTTATCATCTCTCAGAGGCCCTACTCCAAGCCTAACATTTTGTTTACCCTTAATGCATTTAAAGAAATCCTTACTGTTAATTTTTATATCTTCAGACAACTTTTTTCTCATACATCCTTTTTGATGTCCTAATTTCTTGTTTCACCAACTTTCTTTATCTTCTATAATATTCTATGTCTCCTGTCATACCAGTCAATTTAAATTTCTTAAATTGATGATGCTTTTCTTTAATTTTATCTCTTAAACTCTTTGTGAGCCAACCAGGTTTATTACTTGCAGCTACCCATTTCTTTCCATAAGGAATATTTAAAAATGTATCTATAAAAATTTTCCACATCTGATCAGTGTCTCCAAATAACTTAGCTGCTCAATTAACGAGATGTGATGCTACTTGTTTTAATTAATGAATGA